AAAATCAATGAATAACAACGTGACGTTTGATAAGTTGGTAGCAACCTGTAACTAAAATCAACGACTAACAACGTAGACGATTGATAAGTTAGGTGCAACCTGTAACTAAAATCAATGACTAACAACGTGACGATTGATAAGTTGGTGCAACTTTTAACTAAAATCAATGACTAACAACGTGACGATTGATAAGTTGGTTCAACCTGTAACTAAAATCAATGACTAACAACGTGACGATTGATAAGTTGGTGCAACCTGTAACTAAAATCAATGAATAACAACGTGACGTTTGATAAGTTGGTGCAACCTGTAACTAAAATCAATGACTAACAACGTGACGATTGATAAGTTGGTGCAACCTTTAACCAACACCAACGAAGAACAACGTGACGATTGATAAGTTGGTGCAACCTTTAACCAACACCAACGAAGAACAACGTGACGTTTGATAAGTTGGTGCAACCTGTAACTAAAATCAATGAATAACAACGTGACGTTTCATAAGGTGTTGTCTCCTGCAACCAACATTAACAAATAACCACGTAACGTTTATCGAGTACAAAACGGGATATCAATTGCAATAAGAGATGACACCGAAAGTACCTTCCGTTGATGTATATATTCTATAATGATGGGTTTCAAACTTTCGTAATTAAAGAATTACGTTAAAATACTGTCTTTACTTTTCTCTTAAAAATGCATAAGATTCGTTAGAAAATGTTAGGCCAAACTGAAATTATTACACATAAAAAGCAGTACTTAAATGGTTATCAACAAGTTTCCATATATATATATATATATATAATAGTTTACTAAAAATAGTATTTCAGTGGACACATTTATTTTATATTTAAATGTTCATGTGTATATATATATATATATACATATAAAATCTAATACCTTACATTACATCAAATATATATAGACGAAAAATTCAGCACTATATAAATCATCTATGAAAAAATATAGATAACAAAACCAGAATATCAAATTTGAAACTCAAAGCTAGAACTTTCAAAATTTTGAGAACAAAATACAAAATTATAATGTTTATCAAAACATCCAAATAAAATAAATTCATTATCGCGTTAGTAACACACACTAAACAAGAAAGTACAAAAGGGATAACTTTTGAAGGAAAATTAGCAGAGACCGCAAAACATTAGCGGTTAAATTTATCTTTATTGCAACAGTACTATTTTAAATACAGGATTTCTAGAATACTTCAAAACAATTTTAATCGCGGAAACCGAAATTTGCAAGTCCACTTGTCTTAGGCCTAGCGTCAGTTAAGCCTATATTTGATAAAGAGATAAGTTAACACTGCAACTTGTGTGCGTGTTTTGCTTTAGTTTAGTTACGGCTAAACTTTACTGTACTTAAACCTATCAGTAAATAAACTTATAATGTTATTCTACGACTTAACATTAGACCTTTTTAAAACTTTTATAAGCTTCTAATATGTTGTTCTACAAAATATTTACTAAAGTATATTAACATCCGCCTTTTGTTTGCATCTGTTGAAATAAGTGCGCGCGCATGCCCACTTAGATAGTAAGATGCATTTGCATTTTAGAACGGACAAAAATTGAGTATTATTATCATAGATGTCTGCAATAAAATCAACATAGTAGAAATTTGCTCGTTAATAAAACCACCCTAAATTTCAATATTTGTAAAACTCCCAACCTCCACCCTTTAAACTCAGCGTAATTGTAAAAATTTGGTTGCTAATAAAACCACCCATAATTTCATTATATTTGTAAAGCTCACAACTTACATCCATGGGTAGTAACTACAAAACGACAAGAGCTATAAAATCCGTACCTAAATATTTCAATAACAATTGAACGTCAGTCCTCCTCCCTTATATACATACGTATATAGTATACATAAATAAATATATAACATGAACAATAGAGTGACAGCATTTCGGTTTTACTTAGCATATACTATATATATATATATATATACCTACAGTCGCAGAGAAAAAATCCTACACTCAGTATCACATACTTCAACTTATTCAAGAAAATATGAGACAAAGACCAAAATATACATAATTTCTGGTAGCCTAACAAACAGTCTTTCTACAAAACAAAATAACGGAAGTAATTTCAAACATTTGTTAATGACAAATGTATTGGAACCTTATTTGAAAAGTCTGCAAAACCTCAATAGAACCAATTAAAAGCTTCTTGGGATTGAAGAGCAAATGGATACGGCCATGCATCAAAACATTCTATAAAGTACAATGATACTAACTGCTCATAGGATGATTGCAGATAGTTTGTATTCCAACAAGACAATGAACTAAACATACAGTTATATAAGTCAACTCTGGAATTCTTAAAGAAATCGAACATTAAAGTTCTGGAATAACCTTTACAATCACCAGATTTCAGTCCAATAGGCATTCTTTGGCCTGATTTGGAAAAAGCTATAACCAAGTATTGTGTGTCCAATCTGTAAGAGCTGGAAGAAACATACAATATAGAATGAGACCAGATTTTTCCAACAAGATGTAATGCAGTGGTTGAGAAATGCCATAAATGCTCGAAAGCTGTAATAAAAGCAAAAGGAGGATACAAGAACTACTAAAGCAGGGGTGCCAATACTTTTGTAGTGAACGAATAATTTAAGTGAAATAAGTTTATTTGTGTTTTGATAGAGATTATTCATTAAATTTCTACATAGTGTGTATTTCGGATTTTTGTTTTATTTTGTGAGCTTTATTAAACGTTTATCCTTAAATCTATCACTTTCACATATGGTATAACAAACCTAGGGTGCCAGAATTCATTCTCAAGTTACATGAGATCAGGGAATAGTTTAGGACTGGTTAATATCCAACTGATCAGAAAAAAATCGACAACTAACGAATTCATTCTCAAGTTACATGAGATCAGGAAATAGTTTAGGACTGGTTAATATCCAACTGATCACAAACAAAATCGACAACTAACGAATACCTTCTCAAGTTACATGAGATCAGGGAATAGTTTAGGAGTGGTTAATATCCAACTGATCACAAACAAAATCGACAACTAACGAATACCTTCTCAAGTTACATGAATAGTTTAGGACTGGTTAATATCTAACTGATCAGAAACAAAAAGCTCGAAAACTAACGAACATATCTAAAGTTAAAATGAGATTAAGAGTTTTTTAGGTCTCTATAAACTTAAGAAAAAAAAACAGAAATAGAATTACTACTCTAAGACTAAGCATAACTTCCAGCAATTTAGTTATAAAATTAGTATCCGATATTGACATAAAACTGTCAATTCCATTAATAACAGCCTGAAATTCACAGTTTTTATCTATTACTATCATTAATATAATCAAATTGAGCAAAGACATTTGACAGTATTTATTAAAGAAATGCGACCTGAAACAACATATAACTACACATAAAGGATTCAAATAGAATGCTTCAGCGGCCATCAATATACACAGCCCACGTAAGGCCAATAATGCGGTTTATAGCAGAGAAAGAGAAATATTAAATAAAATGATATATGAAGGCACGTGGCAAGACGGTAATACGCAACCGAACTAATGAACTCTAGCTACATAGAGATTAGGCTATCGTTAGTTCTAAAGGTCAGTATAGTCAAAAACCTCTTTCAGTTTCTTCATAAGCCATAAGCATGTCTTCAGTTTTACTGTCTGCTAAAAAAAAAAAAAAGTTAAAATGTGTCGAATAAAAATATTTATTTCACAAACGCGTTTCCTAAATTTCATTCAAGTTTCAGTTTTATGTACAAGAACTTTTGATTAGGACTAGCAAATCTTAGTCAAAAATATAGCACGAGACAATTCAGGTCACTACATATCATACGGACGATTTTTTTTTTATGAAAAGTGAGTGAATTTAAGTAATTTTTATATTTCTGGATAATTCACCATTTTTAGACTTAGTCTTTCTTTAATCACCCTAAGTAACTAATTTGATAAATCCTTCCTCCTTCCGCCCCCTCCCAAAAAATACCATTCCGTTGATAGCTCATTAATAGGCGTTTCATTGGTCTTTATGTTGTGCAATCATTATTTAATGACAAAAGTTGTAACATGAAAAAACATGTATTTCGACTTCTGACAATGTTATTTCTTTAGATATTGAAAAACCATAAGGACCACTATTTCTATTGTTAGAACCTTCAGTTAGTTTTAAGGTACACTATTTCTATTGTTAGAACCTTCAGTTAGTTTTAAAGAACACTATTTCTATTGCTAGAACCTTCAGTTCCATTGTTAGAACCTTCAGTTAGTTTTAAGAACACTATTTCTATTGTTAGAACCTTCAGTTAGTTTTAAGGACCACTATTTCCATTGTTAGAACCTTCAGTTAGTTTTAAGAACCACTATTTATATTGTTAGAAACTTCAGTTAGTTTTAAGGACCACTATTTCTATTGTTAGAACCTTCAGTTAGTTTTAAGGACCACTATTTATATTGTTAGAACCTTCAGTTAGTTTGATAGTCATTATACTAGCTTCACGAGGACTATTTTCTAATCATTAATTATTAAACTGTTAGAAGAGAAAAGAATTATCATCTAATTTTACAACAAGATATAGGCGATTGATCATAAAAAAAGAGACAGACAGACGAGCTGCACAAATAGATGGACAGACGAACGGATGAACGAACTGAAACATAGATAGATCTTTGTACAGACTTTATCTGTTGTAAAACAACTAACTATATTATGTGTTGTCTACTAGCACTACGACCTGTGATAAGGTCTTACCCAATCTTTAAATGGTGTTGGTTTCTCACTCCAAGTAAGTATTGAATCCTTACATTAAAGAAAGAAAAGATTTTAAAAAAACGTTATAAACTGCCTTTTACAAGCGTATGGCGTTATGAGAATATCGTTCTAATCCTGGCATACCTGTTAGTTCAGTAGTTAGATCCTTCAAAGCATGTTGTTTTGTTCTCCATGATCAGCTGTAACAACAGTTTGCCTCTCGTTTTCCTGAAACTCGTTCTATACCTTTGTCTACTCGAAGCAACGAAAGATGTAGTAGGCGGTAGAATCTGGAGTGAGCGACCACAGCGCCATCAGTCGGCTCTGAAATATATTTTCAAGGACTTACCTTCGAACTCTGCCTTTCAGTGAAACGTATTTATAGAAGCAGAATACACTGACTGTAATAGAAAACTGAGAGTACACTGAACATTACTGTGCGAAGCGAGCTTGTTTCTACTAATGTAAGTACGGTACGCTCAATAAAAAAATACTAGGAAAAACAAAGAAGTGTCAAGCTATCTACTAGAACGAAGTCTTCACAAACAAACGCTTAAAATCATTTTTGTTTTGATCAGTATGTATCTTCAGCCAATTAACATTAGATTTAGAGCAAAAGTAAGTTTACTCTGTTAATCATGACTGAATACTAACGTATATGTTAACGTATATGTTAATCATGACTGAATACTAACATATACGTTAACATTTAATATAAATAAAAACTAATGAATTAAACACTCACGCGTACACACTGTGGTAACATTACACTTTTAAAGTACTAAATTATGAACTGGTGTTTCTAAATCGGTTAATTAAAAATTAAATAAAACCTGCTTTATTGCAGTTTATCATGAACTAAAAGGTAGTTCTTGAACACACAGCTATTTGTAACTGGGGTTAAGACCTTCAACTTTTAATCTGTTGCTGGAAAAAGTGATGTTTACGTCGTTATGAAAGACATGATCATTTGTGAACACAATAACTTGAAGTACAATAACTTTGGCTAGAGGGATCATTTTCTACACTGTTGTTTGCCTGAATAACCTCCTACGTCCTTATTACGAAAATCATGAACATTTGTGAACACAAGAATTTGGGGCACAATAACTTGGGCTAAAAGGGTCACTTTGTACATCATTGTTTATCTTGATAACGTTCTATATTATTATGAAGATCATGAACATTTGTGAACACAAGAATTTGGGGCACAACAACTTGGGCTAAAGGGGTCACTTTGTACATCATTGTTTATCTTGATAACGTTCTATATTGTTATGAAGATCATGAACATTTGTGAACACAATAATTTTGATTAGAAGGATCACAATTGCGTAAAAAAACTATCTCTAAGTTATTATGAAGATCATGAACATTTGTAAAACTAACAACACTGGCAAGACGTTTTACGTGTTAGTTTAACAAAGAGACCTGTTCCTTAAGTGTAACGGTTAGGGTTGTTGGGCAAGCCTTCAAGATTACAGATAAGTCATGTGATGGACTGTAAATGTATTTGTATGCCTTTGTATTTGTTTAGATAAAACTGCGAAATATTTTTAACTTTTATATGATGTTAATTTTACAACATGTCAAAAGTATTTATACTATGTTTATTTGAGCTCACAGATACCAGGCTAACTGCGATTTGTCCACGACGGGGAGTTTTAGAAATGTAAGTATTTAACCTTACCGCTGATTCACCGGGAGATTTTGTACCTGTATGTTTTTTTTTTTTTTCAATGGCATTAGCACACTTACCGCTGACTCACTGCGAGATTTTGTACCTGCGTACCTTTTTTACAATGGCATTAGCACACTTACCGCTGACCCACTGGGAGATTATGTAGGTGTGTACTTTTTTGTTTTTACGATGGCATTAGCACTTCACTAGAGTTCGCTAGTTTACGTGTTTTTGTTTTGTTTGTTTTGGAATTTCGCGCAAAGCTACACGAGGGATATCTGCGCTAGCCGTCCCTAATTTAGCAGTGTAAGACTAGAGGGAAGGCAGCTAGTCATCACCACCCACCGCCAACTCTTGGGCTACTCGTTTACCAACGAATAGAATAGTCACATTATAACGCCCCCACGGCTGAAAGGGCGAGCATGTTTGGTGGTATGCGGATTCGAACCCGCGACCCTCAGATTGTGAGTCGAGCGCCTTATCCACCTGGCCATGCCAGGCACACGTGTTTTTGAGGATGCTGCTTTTAATAATTATTCGTTTCTTATTCAACTTTTACTCTCTATTCCATCACACAAGTAATCATATTTAAACTTGATTTATTGGTTATCTTCCAAGTTTTACAACTTGGCCTTATGAACATTTCTATCTTGATTTGTTAAATCTCAGAAAAAAGTAGCCCAAGAGTTGGCGGTGGGTGCTACCAACTAGCTGCCTTCCCTCTAGTAGATCACTTAAAAATTAGGAAGCTATGAAATGATTATCCCTGTGCGTATCTGCGCGAAATTCTGAAAGAAACAAACAAATATTGATTTGTTTTGCTGTTTTTATTTCACTGGAATAGCTATTGATGCTGGGGGAATTATTGGTTATTATTCTAATAAACTTGTAATTAAATGTATTGAGTCATGTCTATCCTTCATTGTACATAACTGGAGGATAAAGTTTTTGGTGTTAATTTTTTCCCCTTTTTGTTAGTTACTCCAAATTATTGTGACCTAGTGGTTAATATATTGATTGGAAATCCGAGAGTCCGCAGTTCACGTCCAGTTATCACAAAAAACAAAAGCATTCCATACGTTGGACATGATTACGAATTCCTATTAGTTGATTAGAATAACTCAAATGTTAGCGGTGGGCACTGTAGACTAGCTCTCTTCTCTTAAGTTAATCAGTTTAAAATTAGAGACGAACAGCGCGGATAGTCTTTGCATAGCTATGCGTGAATTTCCGAAACAAACCTTTCTAATTATCAGATCGATTATGTTTTTACCACTGGATTTTCTTTTTCAATGTGGACGACAGTTGTGAATGGTACAATAATCAAGTAAACGATAAAAAATAAGTTCTAAAAATAATGTAGTAGAGAAATACTCTTCCTTCATGACAAGGTAAAGTGGTAACTTCCGCATGCTTCTTTGATTCTTCTTAAAACACTTGAACGTCATCGTACTTGCTTAAGTTTAGACGCAAATTTCATCTGCAACGTACATAAAAGTTGAGACTAAGATTAAAAGTAGCTTTCAATCCTGCACTACTCTTAAAACATTTATACACTTTCTTCTACTGTTTTATTTATTTATTCGTTTAGACCTGGAGAAATCGAGTTTTCTTGGAATAAGAAATATTTCCCCTGAACGTTCGCAGAAACACCGTGTTCTATTTTGAAATATTTACCTAGCCGCTCAGTTGAATAACTTGTGTTGAATCATTCGGTATGTTAATCTAAGCGAGATTTATAGTTAGAAAAATAATTATTCTGATGTGAGTTCACTCTGTTGTTCATCTAGTCAATCTCTTTTTAGTGGGTTCACTCTGTTGTCCATCTAGCCAATCTCTTTTTAGTGGGTTCAGTCTCATGTGTATCTAGCCAATCTCTTTCTAGTGGGTTCACTCTGATGTCCATCTAGCCAATCTCTTTTAGTTGGTTCACTCTGTTGTCCATCAAGCCAATCTCTTTCTAGTGGGTTCACTCTGATGTCCATCTAGCCAATCTCTTTCTAGTGGGTTCACTCTGTTGTCCATCTAACTAATCTCTTTCTAGTGGGTTCACTCTGATGTCCATCTAGCCAATCTCTTTTTAGTAAGTTCACTCTGTTGTCCATCAAGCCAATCTCTTTCTAGTGGGTTCACTCTGATGTCCATGAGCCAATCTCTTTCTAGTGGGTTCACTCTGATGTCCATCTAGCCAATCTCTTTCTAGTGGGTTCACTCTGATGTCCATTTAGCCAATCTCTTTCTAGTGGGTTCACGCTGTTGTCCATCTAACTAGTCTCTTTCTAGTGGGTTCACGCTGTTGTCCATCTAACTAGTCTCTATCTAGCAGGTTCACTCTGTTATTTATATATGCAGTCTCTTTCTAGTGGGTTCACTCTGTTCTCTGTTGAAGCAATCTGTTCTTCCTAGTATTGAGCTATATTGTTTGTTTGTTTTAAGCACAAAGCTATATAATGGGCTACTTATGCTGCACCTACTACGAGTATCGAAACCCACTTTTTAATGGTGTAAGCCCTCAGACTTAACGATGAGTCACTGGAGTTGATGGGATGGGCTATTGTTGTTTCATACATATAAAAAACCAAGCACAGAGTATTTCAAAAAATAAATGAAAACTAAAACATATTCTTAGTTCCAAAGTTTATAAGAGCTGGCCTAGAAAGAATGTTTGAATAGTTTATACGGTAGCCATGACAACCATACGTCATTAACGAACACTGGATGAAAATGGAAAGAAAATAAATATTGGCATTCGTAGAAGATAACTAACAATTCGAGAATGTATTTTTAAAAGCTTTCAAATACGAAGTTCTGATTATTACTTGTAATCCGCATTTTCCAAATTTTTAAGAAACACTATGGTTGAAAAAAAAATTAGTTATTTAACCGAGAAGCAAATTATGCGTTGTTTTAAACAAGATTTCACTTGTTACTTTATAAACAGCGAGAGTATAAGATAACCATTAATAAAAGGTGATATTTAATTCGACCTCTTTACTCTAATGCTTGAATGCATGGGTTGAATTTCATTATATATATATTTAACAAACTAAAAAATATATAAAGAACAAAACAGCTTTCTTCCAAAACAGTATTACATTTTACGTAGTCTCAGTTTTCAACCTAACTAAAAATCACAATCACGTAGACCACCAGAGGTCGTTAAGTATCGCTTCCAAGAATCAACTACTTGGTGCCTAAATTGTCCATAAAAAGAAATTTGTTTGTTTTAGAATTTTCTCACAAAGCCACGTAATTGATATCCGCACATGGCTGTCTCTAAATTTGAACGGATAGACAACAAAAAACCACCGCCAACTCTTAGGTAGTATACTCGTGTCTGACCAAATAGAACGATTTGATCGACGTTTTTATAGCGCTCCTGAGCGACAACTAGATGTCAGCCTTAAACCTTCGTATTCATAGTTCTAGAATTGTAACTTTAAGGCCACGTCTGGCCCCTTAGAAAACAAACATTTTCATGTGAATAAGTAAATTTATGTATAATTATTTTTTTTTTGCAACATCAATGTAATGTTTATAATGCGTTTAGCGTCCGAGTTCCCGGTGCTGTTACTTCTT